CCGGGAGAGTGGGCGTGGCTGCTCCGATTTCTGATGGCCACAATATGATGAGGATGTGCGGTTGCTATGCCCTATCTGTGCCAATGATAACCAATTAACACGCTCGTTAATTGTTTCGCCAGAAACCTAAATCGAACACGCAACTGTCACGATTCCAACTGGATATATGTATATCCTTGGTGGTGGAATCAGGGAAAACTAACATCTACTTGATAATAAAATGGGATTTTATGGCTGCAACTTGGAGATAAAAAGCTAATAAACTGTGATTTTAATGCAGGTCTTCGTCGATAAGGTTTAGTAAATGAGGATTTCATGTTGCCTACTTGGCACTCATTTGGAGACAACATCTTTAGAGAATTTATTAATATATAATATAATTTTGTTAAATTTTTGGTACTTTTAACGATGTTTCCATCTTGCCTGTTAATGCTGATCAAGAATATATATGAATCACAGGTTTAAAAATTGCTCCTTCGCAGCATTACCCCATTTTAAGGCACTTTCCAGACAAATTCTCTTTCCATTTTGTAGCACATTCCAGACACAATATCTTACTCTCCAGCTAAGAACATCTTTCGCACTTATCATTTTACTTATTTTCCAAATAGCACGGAACCAAGGAGAACAGCTCTTCAATTTCCGGCCTGTCATTCTCTACGTTTTCATATCCGCTGGCGCTCGTTTCCCCCTTGCCCCGCCCCCACACCAACACTAAAACCGTTTGACAGACAAATCAAAGAGACATTTTGAGCGGAAAATTTCCCACAAAGCATCCCACATTCCGTAAATCGAATAAATTTCCCTGCCTAGTGGTCGTCGATGTTAGGAATTTCCCCTTATTACGTTTGGTGCCCTTTCATACACATGGAAATCAATTTGTTTATAATTATTTTTTAATACGGAATGGAATTTTAAGTTGAAAATAATTTTCAAAAAAAAAAAAAAAAAAAATATATATATATATATATATTAAAGTTGAGGAAATTAATAGGGTTTTTTTTAAACAAACTTGGGCAAAAGTTTTCGGTTTAACTTGCTAAAATTCGTTTAATCTTAAATTGTAATAATTAATGAACTTTTAACTTTTAGTTTTATTTTTTATTCCATAATTCACTTCTATTTATACTCCACCACAAACTTGTCTAACTTATTAAGAAACTATTTATTAATTTAGCTGGCTGATTGATTTCTAATTAAAAAAACTGTTTTCCAGAAACTTTTAATTGCAGATGAAGGCTGTATATATATACATATATACATATATATATATTTTAGATCTGAATCTTGGGGGTTGTGGTTCGACTTCGATTTCCATCATATTCACTCGAATAAATTCTGATTAGCTAAGCTATCCTTGGCCAGAGAGCATGGAAAATAAAATAAAACAAGAAAGGAAGCTAACTTCGGCACGCCGAAGTTTGTATACCCTTGCAGATTGGTTTCGATGTTTATATTATAGATTTAAATGCTGAAAACACTCACAAAACAGAGTTTCATTACATTTTACCTATACTTATTATGTTTACAGTTTGACAGTTACAGTTTTACATTCCCAGTTTTACATTTTCTCTACATCTACCGATCGGTTTATATGGCAGCTATATGATATAGTTGTCCGATTTTTATGAAATTTATACCATAATTCTAGAATAATAAAAAAAGCTTATACCTTAGAGTAGATAAACATACGTTGAAAAACAACGAAACTATAATTTTTTTTCCTATTTATTTCTCGATCGTTCCTATGGCAGCTATATCATATAGTCGTCCGATTTTGATAAAATTTATACCAAAATTCTAAAATAATATAGAATGGCCATATCTAAAAAATGGTGCAAAAATGTTGAAAAACATCAAAGTTCTAATTTTTTTTCTACAAATATATCGAACATTTGTATTGCAGCTATATGATATAGTCGTCCGATCCGGCCCTTTCCGACATATATAGCAGTGAGAGCATATAGAAGACTATATGCAAAGTTTCATTCAGATAGCTTTAAAACTGAGGGACTAGTTTGCGTAGAAACAGACAGACGGACAGACGGACAGACAGACAGACGGACAGACAGACAGACGGACAGACAGACAGACGGACAGACAGACAGACGGACAGACGGACATGGCTAGATCGACTCGGCTGTTTATGCTGATCAAGAATATATATACTTTATAGGGTCGGAAACGTCTCCTTCACTGCGTTGCAAACTTCTGACTGAAATTATAATACCCTGCAAGGGTATAAATATATATGTACATATATACCCCAATTCCCTTATGTTTTTCCCCTTCACCCCAAAAGTCCCATTTCCGTTTCCTGTTGGCTGGCAAGTAAAAAGTTTTCCCCTGAAGCCAACGAAAAATAAAACAGAGCTGAGAAAAAAAACATTTGATTTTCCTTTTTTTTTTTGCTGGCACAAAAAATAATTAAAATTCATTCGTTTGATTTGCAGGGAGGGTGGCGGCCTTCTCGGGCGGCCATTTTGTTCGCTGGCAGCAAACTTTTGCAACAAACTGTGGCAGAATTAATTAAGTTTCGGGTACGCATGGAAATTTTATTAACAAACTGATAGCACAAAGGGGAAGCCGAGGGGTTGGGTTTTTGAGTTGGGGGCTGCTCTTCCAAGGGCATAGGGATTTTTTTTTTTGGGTGATACATAGAGTGGGTGGCATAGGAGTGGAGGAGGGCTTTTCTGGGGTCCAACGGCGCTGTAAGTCATTAATAAAGCGAACACCAACCGACAGCGTCAGCGTTGCACATTTTGACAGGCGGAGTGGGGCAGCAGGTGGAAGCTAAAGGGCAGCACTAAGAGAAAATTTTGCGCTGTATATAATAAAAATAATATTTAAATTTTATCAATTTTTCTATTTATTTTAAAATGTAATCAATAGATCAATCTTTTATTTTAATATATTTATAGTTTTGAAGCATTTCTCGGCTACAAATACTACCAATACTATGTTATCCAATAAATACTCTATATGAAAAAGGTTCTTGATATTTTTCCTTAATTTTTTTTATTTTTTATTAATTTTGTAAAACTGTTCTAGTCCGCATTACACCCATAAAATTATTAAAAATAATTCTAAAATTCGGCTTCAAAAGCCTTTTGTTGTTTCTTTTTTTTTCAGTGCATATATAGGGACAAAGAGGGGCAAAGACAGAGACAGAGTGAGAGGGAAGAGAGAGAAAGAGGAGTATAAGAGCAGAGCGTGGAGGCGAGCAATTAAGTAACCTGCCAACAAAACATCTGACAGATAGGGCGCCGAAAAAGGGGGATGCTTCCTGAAGAAGAGGTGGGGCGGAATATCGAAGGATGATACCCTTTTCCAGGAGGTGCTAGAGAGAGGGCTGCATTGTCATTCGATTGCCAGGACACACACACACACACACACAGAGTTATTTCCCCTCAGAAAAACTCTGGACTCTGGAGTCGCCGTTGCTGTGGGTGGAGTTAAGGCGGCGTTTGGGGCAAATGGGTTAAGTGGCCCTGCTGCTGTCGACGTCGCAGCCGGAAAATGAATGAAAATGAATGATTCATGCGCAGCAGCCCCACAAAATTCGAACTGTTCTGGCAGTTGGGAAAATGGGAAAACTACTACCGTATGTGTATGTATATACAAATATATATATACAAACACTTGTTTATATATAGTCAGGCATTCGGAAAGAGGCGTTTATGTCAACAAATTAAGGGAAAATTGCCAACAATGTGTGTGTCTCTTTCGCACAAGGAATTTTTCAATTGCAAAAGTCCACAAAATAAGAGAAAAGGAAAACTACCAAGGAAATTGCCACAAAATAAAAGCCAACAAAGAGTACACAAAACCAAGCAAGGAAAGCGCAAAGAAAAACCGCAAAGAAAACTTAGTAATTAGCAGTAATTGTACTAAATACATAGTTAAAAAGTTAATATTGAAAAAAATAGCTGGTAATATTTGTGAAATAAGTTTTAAAAAATTTGCAATGTTTTATAAAATATTCAGTAAAAATTTATATATGTATGAATATTTAACATTAAATTAATATTTACATTTTTAATTTTAAAGAAATGATTTGCTTTATTAATAAATTATATTATTTATGTACAATAATATATATAAAGCATTCAAAATCAATAAATTTTCTTAATTTTCCAAATAAATATTTATTAAAGTTTATTAAAAAAAAAATAGTAGAAATTCCCCAAGGTAGAGAGGCCTTCGAAGGCCCTCGCCCGACCGAATTGGCTAATTAATTGTTAACGAATTTTCATTTTCTATTTGTCGCAGAAAATTGCCATTTATGGTTAGGCGCAGCAGCGACGCCGACAGCGGGTAGCATAATAATTTGATGTGCGACAAATTGAAAAAAAACGCCGCATAACTCCGCCCTGGAAAAGTTCCGTTCGTTGCTGGCTCGTTCAAAGAAAATTGAAAACTCTTCTCAAGTCGTTCACGTTTTTTGGCCGCAATGGCGGCGGCAGAGGCAACGGCAACGGCAGCAGTGAAAATTCCCAGTATTTTCAGCCGGCCAATAGAAGCGGCCACCAGGCATACGGTTGTCTCCCTCTAGCGAGCCATATTGAAAATGGCACACGCACACACACACACACACACACCGAAGCGGAGGCAGACAGGTTTTCCTCATAATGAATTACGCAGACAGCAGCTTCGGCAGCGGCAGCAGCAGCCGCCGCAGCGCAGCAGTTGATCAAAATTGAAAGAGCGCATATAAAAATTAAGTGGTGGACTTGATGAATTTCCCACTCGCTCGCACGCACAGGCTGCGTCGAAAACATGGCAACAATCTCCGGGCCCAAGAGGGAGAGAGCGAGAGAGAGAGAGAGAGCGGCCCGACACCGTTGGTTCCCGGCTTCAGTGGTGGTAGTGATGGTGGTGGCCGGGCCTCTCTCTCGTGCCTAGTGCTGTCTCTGTCCCGCCGCGCGTCTGGGCTTCCAGGGTTTCCTCGCTGGCCGCGTCGATTTCGCTGCTCAGTTCAAAATTTTCACTGCGAGCGGTCTGGTCGCTTCCGCGCGCTCTCGCTCTCGCTCTCTCGCGGCAAGCTGAAAGGCAGAAAAACAACAGAAACTGAGAAACCAAGAAACTGGGCAACAGTAAAAAGCTGAAAGGCGAGGAAAGACTGAAAGTGTGCTGTAGTTTTATTTAATCAGTTGCAACGGCGAGTTAAACACGCACACACACGCACACACCTGCGTATATTTTTTTAAGCGAAAAACCCGAAAACGAAACCGCCTCGAAACCTGTGCATTTTTGTATGTGATGGCCAAAAATGGTTTTGGAGACCGAAAGCAAAAAGTTCTTGATCTCGAATAACAATAATAGTTGTAGTAACAACAATAATAACAACAACAACAACAGCAACGACAGCCTGGGTGCCGCCGCAAAAACCCAACACAATAACAACAATAATAACAGTAACAACAATAGCATTAAGCAGGAGGTGCAGGAGGACGCGGCGGTGAGGAGTTCCCATCATTCCAGCCACTTGGCACTTCCAGTGCAGCAACAACAGCAGCAGCAGGAATCCATTGCCGCTTCCAGTGCAGCCGTCGTCGGACCCGCTATGCCCTCCGAGGGCCTGCACCCGACGGCCGCCCTGCAGCTATACGCCGCCGCCGCCCAACTGGCCCCCGGCGGTGTCCGCGTCCCGCCCTGGGGTCCCTTCCTTCAGTTCGGCGTTCCCGGCGTCTTTGGCCCCAACGGTCCGTTCTTGGGCCGCCCGCGTTTCGATGCAGCCGCCGCAGCGGCCGCTGCCGCCGGCGCTGGTCATCCCAATTCCGCGGCAGCCGCGGCGGCGGCCACGCAAATGGCGGCGGTTAATGCCAGCAACGCCTTTGCCAATCTAACGGGACTGAGCGCCGCCGCCCTGAGGAATGTGAGTGCCGCCCAAACAACGGCCGTGGCGGCGGTGGCCAGCACCGTGGCCACCATCCAGCACCGGCTGATGATCGGCAACCGGCAGAGCCTGCCGCCGGCGGGGCCGCCTAGCGAGGGATCCAACGAGGATGGCGGTGAGTGTCTAAGATATAAGATTGGGGAATCCCTTGAGGAGAGCGCGGGGGAATTTTGAAGGGAATTTTTGAAAGGAATATTTGAAATATTAAGGGTATTTATTCTCTCTTAAAAATCTTATCTTGTTTTATTTATACTAAAATACTTTGGGTATCAGGATGAATTCAGATTAATTTCCAATTGGAAAACATTTTGTGCAACTTAAAAGGGTTAAGGTCATTATTCGAATTTAAAATCACTCTTGTAATAAGTTAATTAATCTTGTAACTAGCTAGTTGATAGTTAATATATAGGTGTTACCATTACCATCATTATAATTAATTTCCAATAAGAATTGTAATGGTTATAAATTAAAAACACACTACACTATATTTATTTGAAAGCTGCCGACATCGGTTGCCCCGTCGGAGAACTGTCACCTCCATTCGTATACAGAAAATAGTTTCCATTTCAAATTCCTTGTTAAATTGACAACATATTTTGAGACAACAAAAAAATATTTAAAAATATATATATAAATTACAAAAAAAAATCGAAAATGGGTGAGGAGATAGAGATTGAGGAGGCCGAGGACTTTCACAGCTTGGGCTCCAATGAGGACGAGGCTGCCTCTGGCAGTGGCGGTGCCACCGGCGGCGGTGGCAGCACCGTTGGCGGCAGTGTTCAGGCTCGGGACGATCGCTTCGCAGTGAAGAAGTGGGTGGCTCACGCCCTGTGGTCATGGGACGTGGCCGTGGACAATTGTGCCATCTGTAGGAACCACATCATGACCTTGTGCATTGAGTGCCAGGCCGATCCGAATGCCCACAAGGACGAATGTACGGTGGCCTGGGGCGAATGTAATCACGCCTTCCACTACCACTGTATCTCGCGTTGGCTGAAGACGCGCCAGGTGTGTCCGCTGGACAACAAGGAGTGGGTCTACCAAAAGTATGGACACTAAAGAAGGTACCTGTATTGGAGCCGACTTGTGCTCCCACTCAACACTGGTGTTTCGTGATTAGCATATTGCAAAGACAATAAAATTAACATATAAAGTAGCCACCGTAATCCTATTGGCATACCATTATTCAAAGAATAATCAGCTTGATGTGACTTAATCAGTCGATAATAGAATTAGTTACTAGTTACTTTCTTGAGCTGTGCTTGCTGAGCTTAATTCACAACTAAATAAGCCTTTTGCATAAAGCCTTAAAGCCTGGTAAATGGAGGTTATTCAAATTCAATGATCGAATCAAAAGGCTACGTTTATGGGATGCTCAATGGCACCAACCACTCGTTAAGCTCTATGAATGAAAGAAACCGAACTCGTTGCAAAATACCCTGACGAAAGATCACTCGTTACTAGTTATTTACAGAGAGATAGAGATAGAGAGAGAGAAATGGCCTTAAATGCTAATGAAAGACACGCGTAAGACATCACAAGAAACAAAATATTTTTAATAATAAATTGTTGCAAAAATGTGTTAAGAAAACAATTCGCATTCCTCAACTCTTTCCCATGAAATCAATTTCCAACGCTGACTTTCGCCAGATCGACGGTTCGGGCTAATGAATTATCAGGTCTCTGGGTACACGCGCCTCCCCAGTGGAGGTCAGCGCCGCCTGATCGATCCATTTCGGATCGAATTTCCATTACGATTTCCATTTGAATACGTGCCATCTGTCTATAGTAGCTATAGAACTCATCCTGCTCGTTATCGGGGCCCCGACAATATGCTAATTCATTCAATTAGCCCTGCTAAATGCTTTCGTTCTCGCTGTTTTTTGCTCGAACCGCTGCTGCTCGGCCTGACTTTTGCTACCTGCAAAGCACATTTATTGATTTAGCTAATCAGCGATCGATTATTATGTAAAGTCCGATTGATTTTCGTTGATTTGTATTTAGCATACAAAGTAGTGTATGTGGAGCGAACGGAATGCCTGCTGTGCGCCCACGGAAAAGGTCGCGTCGAGTCCGAAATTGGGTCCCCCCCCCCACATCATAGTCGATAAACCATAAATAAGCTACCCAAAGATATAGACAGAGACCTAACCGTGTTAAAAATGAACAACAAAGCCAAACATTGAATTTACCAAGTGTGAATATGTTTGTTTTCGGGCAGATATTTCTTTAGATTTATTTCTAATTGGACTTGATCCCTATAATTATGAAATACTTGACCCTAAATGGGGTTTCCAGGTAGTGATTTGATTTTTTTGTGCAACGTTTACTTTTATAGATTGAATAAGCAGTTGAAAAGATTTGATTCAAGGGATCATAAATGAATAATATAAATATGAATATAATATATACACAATATAAATAATATTCTTATATTCTGTGATGCTTTGGGTTCTTCCTTAAGTAGGATTTAATATGAATGATATAAATATGTCTGGCTTTTTCAGTTAAGGTCTAATTTTGATAGGTTCTTCTTTAAGCCTGATTTTATTTGAATATTCATAGTATCTTCTTAACTACTTTTAATCTAAGTAGTTGTATTCAAGTTTCTTATTCTTTAATTGCAGATCTTCATTCACTTAATCAGTCTTACATTTTTGTATATTTTGTAATCAAACAATTGTCTTTAAACCCATTCCGTAATCGTTATAATTCCGGGAAATACTCTTTGATGTATTAACTTTGGCTTGTTTTGCGGTAACCGCCGTGACTTTCTTTCTTTCTTTCTTAAGAGAGCAATCACTAGACCCCAAATTGATGGGACGCCATTTGCCTTGATCGCGCTCCGACTCTGACTCTGTCCATTAAGCTGGAGTCTCCGTCTCCTCCAAAGCGGCAGACAGCGGAGTAGACTCCGGGTCTAAACCGGAATAAAGATCAAGTGCGAGAGAGAGAGAGAGAGGGACCAGTCCAGCCCGGCTGTGGCTCATTGACCAATTAGCATTAACAAATGATGGCTAGTTGGTGTAATTATGGCCATAATGCATATATACACCGGGTCGGGGCGTTAGCAAGGGGCGTGGTGTGTGCGCCGCTTGTAATTAACTGCACTTGGCATTGGGTAGTGGGTACTGGATACTGGGTAGAGGAGTGAGTGTTCTGGGAGCCAAATTAATTGCAGCCAACGCAAGGCCCATCGTTGTTTTTAGGGGCACTTCCTCCTTAAAAAGTAATTATTAATTTGATTTGATTCAATTTGATTGGGGCAGCGATTGTGCGAGAGAGCTGCTTGCTCGAGTGGGTGGAATCATCCGGGGGAGGCAGTCGTTCAGGCAGTGAGGCAGGGTTACCATATGCTCATTAATCATTTTGCGGCGCTCAGAGTTGACATGCAACTGAGCTGAAAAATGGGATATGCTGGGTGAGAGGGAGAAGAGGGCGGGGGGTGGGTGGTGCCACATTCGTGGGCGTGGGCGTTGGAATTGCGACGGGATTGAGACGAGAACGTAAACGGGGACATCATTATCATCATCATAGTTTGCCGTCATCATCATCAGCACATGACGTTCCTCATGCCGTCGTTGCTCATTTCACGCCGGAAATGAAGAAACTGTCATAAGGCGATCGGAATCATTTATCATGCGATTTTTACTTCACCATTTTGTTTTGTTTCTGTCTTGTTTTCTGGTCCTAATGAATTCCGCATATAACCCAAAAAGTTTGCCCTGTTCGAGCACTTCCGTTCCGCCCCAAAAAAAAACAAAAACGGAAGTTGGCTCATTGATGGAACGGCGGAATGATGGAATGATGGAACCCTGACTGACTTGACTGGAATGATAAATCGTTTCACAAAAGAAATTCTACCGTTAGTTATAATAAAAATAACAATAAACAAATGCTTTACTCTTTACTTTTTAAGTATTTCCGTTTTTTTAATGGATTTTCTTCTCGTTCTTTAGACATGGGAAATATAATTTTGAGATTTCGTTTCATTTCAAATGGTTCTACTTAATTGAGAATCACAAGAACTGTTGGAATTTTATCTCTTGGTAAACAAAAAAAAAAGAGATTACTTAGTTATGTGAACTACAAGTGGAACTTTATAAGTGATTTGGCGAATTTCAATTGACCTAATGTCCTGGGACCGCCGTTAACCATTCCAAAAGGACCTCTTAGTCAGCTTTTGGAAAAGTGCAATTAGTCCAGGGAAGGGTTCCCCCCCTTACCCTTTCTTAGCCTTTTGTCCTCCATAAACTTTTTAGTAGTTCTCTCTCCTTCCTTGTTTTTACCTTGCCTTTCCTTGTCCTTCCTTTCTTTTCTTTTTTTTCCTTTTTATATATATATTTTCGCTTTAATTTTTATGACTTAAGTGGCTCACCCGCCGCCAGGATCGAGGATGGGGTCTTAGGTGGTGTGTGTGTGTGTGTGCGAGTGTGAATGTGAATGTGACTGTGTGTGGGTAACTGTTATATTGCCTGGCTGACGCGCGCTGTAAACGAAAATAACATGCCACGGAATGTGACTGAGGCATGCAACAACACACTCGTTTCTTCTGATTTAGCCGCCTTCTCTTTTCCCATACCCTTTTGGAGTAGGGGTATTGAAGTCTTTAGGTTTTTTGTGTGTAATTTTTAAGTTAGTAAAAATATCATTTAGAACTACTAAGAATTTTACTCTTAGTTCTTCAGTTTTAAAGTAAACATTTTTTTAATATATACTTTTGGGATTTGTAGACAGATTTTAAAAGGCCTTTATTATTTATTTAAGTAAAGTATTTAAAGTCGAAAATGTTAATAATATGCAAAAAGGGCAATGACCAAATAATTAAAATATATTTCAATATTTTATTTATAGTTAAAAAAGCGTATAATACATTTTAAACCGATCATGCAGAGTATAAAGCATCTTCTTTTTATTATTTTTATTTTATTTTTTATTTTTATTTAATTTTATAGAAATAACTAGTTTATGGCTTGATGAAAACTCGCTGAAACCTGAAAGACAACGAGTTTAAAATACATTTTTTGGATATGAACTGAAGTACAGGGTGTTCTAAGCTTCGGATTTTGGAAATTCCCTTGCCTTTAATGCCTCCACTTTGTTTCTGTTTCATTTTAATTTTCGGTCTTTGGCTCGTTTCGTTTTGTTTTTCGCCGCTTTTGAGGTTAGGGCGAGTGAGGGCGTGTGTGTATGTGTGACTATACAACGTTGCCAAATTGCAGTCTGGCTGACGTCGAATTTTGGGGAGTTGAACGGTGCACAATGCTGCACATTGCTGGGCGTGCAATAATCATAATAAATTTCAATTACCGTTTGCATTGGCTCCCACACACACAAACATCCGCCGAAAAAGAGAAAAGAAAAACATGAATTATGTTTGGGCACTCGGAACACCGCCTCCTGCCCGCCACCCCCATCACACGTTAAGGTGGGCTCTGTTATTATTAAGTCATTTGAATGCACTTTGTGGGCTGGCTATCTCGCTCGCACTTGCCTTGTCGCTTTCCATTTAATGTCTCTATTATTGTTGTGTATTTGGTGTTGTTATTGAGTTATTAACACACACACAGACACACTCTACACTTGCACTCGCTCTCGTTCCTGCTCCTGCTCCTGCTCTCGCCATCTCGTTCGCTCACTCAAACGTTTAAAACAAACGAGTTTGCCACAGAGCGAGATAGAGATAGTGACGTCGTGAAGCGTTACAGTGCGGCACGCATAATTAGGTACACTTAACAGCAGAATGCAAGCCATTCATTAGGGGCGTCCTCTTGTTATTGCGCTTTAATGCAGGTTGTGCGTATGTAGGTAGTCCCCCCCGTTTGCAATTGTGGCAAGGCCGCCAAAGGGCGTCGGCAGGGGGGTGTGGGGTGGCCATCTAAATACCGAAATTAATGTGATTACAAAGTCAGCTGTGGCGGAGAGTTGAGTGGCGGCGCTTTGGATGCGTTTTTATTCGTCACTCTGCGCCGGATACAATGTAGCGAGCCACTAAATGAGTGATTGCATGGTTGCGTTTCCACAGAAAAAAAAGTGATCGTAAAAGGTATCGATTAACTCGATAGGCAGTCGTTATTATATGTGATGCAACACAAAATCGAATGGGTTTTTATTCTGAATTAATTTCTGAGATGCTTTATTCGTCCCTCCAGTGTTATAATGTAGTGAGTGTTTTTATGTCCTCGTTATGCGTATCGATTAAATCGATATATGTACATTTGTGATGCAACTTTAACTAGCTGAGTTTATTCTTAAGTCTTAAATAATGAATTTGTTGTGTAACATTGGATTTTTTTTAAACATTGCTTGAGCTGAAACCACTAAAAACTTTGATAAATATCTTAATTACTTTGAACTTAAACTATAAGCTTAAGGTTTATTGTGCCAAAAGTACATGTTAAGTGTAGAGTTTTGATTTTATTATAGCCTTTGCAGGGTATTATATTAGATTATAGATTATAAATCCTAGATATATTTTAAATTCATTATACAGATATATAAGTCCAATTAGAACTAACTTGGAAAAGCTTTCCAAGTTGAAATGAAAATTGTTTTAAATTTCAAATTGAATATTATGATTCCAAAACATAGGTTCTCTTTCACTGACCTGCGCTGTGCTTCCGTCCTGGGTTCCTGGCCATCATCTAATACCCCAAAAACACCTTGGGATTGGGACTCTGACTGGGACTGGTGCCAGGGACCCCTCTCCTTTCCTCTCCTCTCCAGCTCCCTTTTGGGTCTGGAGAAGATCGGAGTTAATTTGATAAATTGCGGGGCCTTTTGCATGCATTCCGCGTCACGCCCCCTTTCGGGGGTATAATCTAAATATAGAAAACTATGCATGCATCCTGGGGATCGGGATTGGGATCAGAGGCGGGGAAGGAGCAGGGAACAGGGAGCGGAATAGAAACGTAATTAAATTGTTTCGTTTTTATTGTGAGCCGCCGGCGGTGGCGGTGGCTGGGAATTGAGAGAGTGGAGGAAGGGGGCTCTTGGGCTCTGGTCCGGTCTGGCCCCTTTGGCGGTGTAATTGAAATATATGATTATGAATATTTATGTGTGTATGTTTGTATGTGTCTCGGCTAATTTAAATAATAATTTTCCAACACTTAATTATAGGGTTTTTAGTGTCGAAGAACAAAGTGTTTTGCGCCCATGTTTTTCTATTCTGCATTTCCTGCTTTGTTTTTTGGGTTTTTCCGGGCTTCCCCAGAGTGTGTGTGCGTGGGGTTAGTTTTTGGCAACACCCTAATTAGTTTTAATAAGCCAAAACAAACCCCCTCATGCTAATGACTTGATTCTGTGTGTGTGTTTGGAATTTCATTTACACATTTCTAATTTTTCCCTTTCATTCCCATTTTCTCTTTCTGGGCGCAGGCTTTCCCGGCGACGGCGATGACGATAGCAGCGCGGCCAAGCGCCGCAGGTCCCGCACCAACTTCAACTCCTGGCAACTGGAGGAACTGGAGCGAGCCTTCTCCGCCAGCCACTATCCGGACATCTTTATGCGAGAGGCCCTGGCCATGCGGCTGGATCTCAAGGAGTCGCGAGTTGCGGTGAGTTTAGTTTTAGTTGGTTTTTTATATCTATGGATTTTTATTTATAGAGTTTTTTTGTTTAAGGTTTTAAATTAGATTCTAAAATCTGTACTTTAGTTTTTTTCAATAAGGAAAATATGTATAATAAATATTATGAATGAATTTAGTTATTAAATGAATTATAATTTATTATTCTCACTAGATTTTATGACTGATTTTCAATTAAAAGAAGTAAAATATAAAATAGAAGCTATATATTTCTCTCAAATTATATTTTAAAATCTGTATTTAAGTTTTTGAATTAAGCAAATGTCTATAAGAATTCATTATTCATTCATTTATTTATTCATTTATTCATTATGATACTTTTCTTTTACTTTATAGGATAGGAGCTATATTATATTATTGTGAATACTATTTTATATATAGTATTAATATATTATTTTGTACATATTTTAAATATTATATTGTATTTTTTTATACATTATTTTATACATATATTTAAATTACCCATTTGCGATCACCTTTGCTGAGATTATACGCTTTGTTCCAGATAGGTATGGTTCCAGAATCGACGTGCCAAGGTGCGGAAGCGTGAGCACACCAAGAAGGGACCCGGCCGCCCCGCCCACAATGCCCAGCCCCAAACCTGCAGCGGTGAGCCCATTCCGCCCAACGAGCTCAAGGCCAAGGAGAGGTAAGTTGGCAAAGTAAAACAAAAATAATATACATATATTTAGAAATTACGAACATAAAAACTGAACTTTACATGAAAATTCGAGGCTCTGTTTAAAATTTTTAATATTTTTCCCATTTAAATCCCTAAAGTAACCCCCTATTTTCCACTTCTATCTCTCTTTTCGCCCCTCTAAATAGAGCCCGTCGCCGAAAGAAGCTGGCCAAGGCGATCGACCGGCAGGCGCGCAAGCTTCAGGCCAAGGGCATCACCGTGGACCTGGAGGCCCTCAAGGCCGAGTACATATCACAGCACAAGGCGAATGGAACCTTCTCGGACTCGGATCTCGAGGACGATGGCATCCAGATCGATGTGGTTGGCGGCACCGATAGCGACGATGAGCTGGATAGCGATGCCGTTAGTCCCGCCCGCATGGGTGCCGCTTCCTCCTCGCAGCAGAACTCCTCGATCCACTGTGGATTGGACGGTGATGGGGATAGTTCGCGGGCTGGTAGCTTCATTGGCGGCGGCGGCAGCCTGGGCAGTCCCAGCTCGGTGGCGCCCAACTCGATGCTCTCGAATGGTGGCATAAATAGCGGTGGCTTTGGCAAGCTGGAGCCCATGGATGGTAATGAGTCGGAGGAGCGGGATAGAGACCGGGACTCACCGAAGCCGCTGCTCTTTCCCGCCAAGGCATTCCATCAACTGAACCTGCAAAGCCAAAGCCAGCAGCAGCAGCAGCATGGACAGCATGGCCAGGGCCAGATGCACCATCACCATCACTCGCACTCGCATCATGGCAGCAATAGCACTGCCTCCTCGGCAGCGGCGACGGCGGCGGCGGCGGTGGCCAATCTGGTGCACCAGACCACGCCGATCAGCATGCGTCGCAGCAATCCCTTCAGCATCGAGTCCCTGCTGTTCAACAACACGTGAGGCAACCACGGAAGGATCTGCCTACGCCTACGTATCCCTATTGTTCCCTTGTTTCTGGCGTTCCTAGAATATTTTGCTCACCTTGTTCGAACGAACCACTTTTCCAACTCAGTTTTTCCCAAGGCTTCGTTTTGGAGTCCCCAAACGTCCTTGATCTATGTATCCTTCGGTTGAGAGCTTGAATATTCCCTAAGTGATTTATTTATTCAAATATTGTGTAATGCATTTTTTTTTATTAAGTGTAGCTCCTTTTTTTTTTTGTGTGTAATCTTAGACCTTGTTCCCAGAGAGAGACTAAATTAGCGTTGTAAATGAATTTATTATTTGTACTTCGTATATATATATATATATAAATATCCCTTTTTTTTAGAGTGGCTGATGCCCAAAGCAATGCTTGAAACATGAATAATATAAATAATATAATTATGTAATAAAAATGTATCGACTAAGGACATTTTTTTTTCTCAAAAGTGTGAGTGTGCATGAGAGTTGTGTGCGTGAAACAAGCCTGTGTAAAAATGTAATTTAATTTAGCAAAAAACAAAAACAAACCGAAGTAAAAAAAAGAAAATCCCTATAAAAGAAAACCCAAGAGTTAAGTAAGTGGAATTTTTTTTTGTGTAAGAGAAGAGAAAGTATATATTACAAATATGATGAAAAACACACAACCTACCCCTCCCCCCACAATATTACATATAGAAATGCAAAGAAAAAGGCAAAAGTGGCTGCTACAAAAAATTATATTGTATCTAAACATAAAAAAAACACACAAACTGATTGTCAAACAAGAATAAAATGCGAATCTGTAAAGAGAGAAAACCAACATAAAAAACATACGATTATCATTTCATTTCCCTTTGATTTCCACTCGAGCTTAGGTCCTTGTCCTGGTCCCGAATCGCGGTTCAAATTCAATAAACGGCAATTTAAATGGCATCAAAAAAAAAAAATACACTTAAATCGAAGAAATCCGAAAGTGTTTTCCTTGGAATGGCCTGCAAATGCCTTTGCAAACTGTTTGCAATCTCCTTGAGAATATGGCTATTATGGGCTCATCATCTTTATATGGCCAGCATTAAAATTAAGAGCTGGACATATCCAGGACCTCGAATAAATCGGCTAAGGAAGGGATCCTATCCTTTAATCGAAGAATTTTGTGTACATTTTCCGACGGCTTTTTGCAACTGAAAAGTTGGATTCGGTTTCTATATAAATTTGGTAAGTATTGTGATGTTGGAAAATTAATGCATAAATTTTCTACTTAAAAAAAAAAAACTATAATTGGTTGAAAATGATTTTTTAGAATTTTTGTTCCTTTTTTTTATGGCTTATAATCTATTAAATAAATATTAAAAATATTATTAAATAATTATTTGATATTTTAGGTAGGTAAAGAAATATAAAAACTAAACACAGAGTAAAAAACGCCTAATTTCCTTATAATTCTCAATTACAAATTCATAAAAAATCTAGAACGAAAATGGGAATATATTATATATAATTCCAAGCAGAAATGCAATTAAAAATAATGAAAAGAAACGGCCGATTCTCGGCCATTACCAAAATTGGTAGCAGAGGCATTCAGTGTCGGGGCCCATTAATCAGGTTGCAACTGAGACCTCAACATACGATAACCGATTTGCGGTTGAGCAGGGGCGTCGCTGCGGGGGGCTCTTTGCTGAGGAAAGGCAACCGAAATCGAAACCGAAACCTGTCCCAAGACCCCGCCAAGTGTCAATTGAATTTGCATTCGGGCTTCGTCCAATCTGCTTGCAGAACGGTTATAGTAACATATATACCGATCCAGGGCACAGAGGCGGAGGTGGGAGGGGGCAGGGAACCAAGATCAGAGGGTCGGCTTTCATGGGAAGTTCATTTCATGGCAATTTTATTGCTTATTAATTTTTCAGTGTTCGCGCTTTGCTTCTCGTCTCCTTCACCTCCCCCCCTCAAAGGCCGGGGCGCGCTCCTGGATGCCCCTCTCTGCTCTGTGGCATGCTGTTAATGGCTCCCCTTGGCTGTTATTGTTGCTGCCTGTTGATATGATTATTACGTTTATGGATTTTAATAATTGTGCATGATTTGGAAGATTTTCCACGTCTTCGGATCTCTTCAAATCGAAGCTACAGGAGAGACGAGACTCGTGCCCCCGCGGCGCATTCATAACTTCTATGGCATTTCTCTGTCTGCTTTTTTTTTTTTTTTTTTTTTTGTGGCTCAATTACTTTTCGATGCAAATCAAATTGGCCGCTCTTAACCATTCTTCACACGTTTTTCATTAAGTCTATTTGTGCGTTTGGCTGTGTATACAAAATAGTCGGAATCGAAGTCGGTTTCGAGTTCATTCCCAGCTCCTTAAGCTCAGCTTTTGGCCATCGATCGCTGGCTCTTTGCTTTTGTTGTAAATGAGTTTTTTATTGAGCTGAAAATATTTTTGTTAAGCTTATTGTTCATTGTCTGATTGTTTATGGGGAGGAGGAGGAGCAGGCCAATCGGAGTTTTGATATTGGGTTCGGTCTTTGGGGTTCAGCAAGTGCGCTACAAAATATAAGATTTCAAAAAGAGGAGCAAAGGAATGGAATTTTTAAATATTTTAAAATTAAATTAATTTAAGAAACTAGGAAAAATTAGTTTAAATTCGTGTAAGAAATAAAAACTATCACAGAACAGCTTTTCATTTCAAAATTAACACTTTTTTAGTTAGTTTATTTATAATAAATATTATTTATAATTTAAAACATTGATTTAAATTTTAAGAAAATCAAAGTTTGCAATTTATAAAATTTTATAAGAAATAAAATAAAATACATTTTGTATATTTAATAAACCAGTTTTTAGCTTAGTTGTAGATTTTTTTCAAATTGGCCTTTCTTAAATAATTATCATATTATACAAATATTGATAAATATTGATTTTAAGTCCTAAATATATAGCCATAAATTTATTTAAAAATTTGTTGGACAAATCAAAGTTTAAAAAAATAACATAACTAAATGAAAATAGCAACGAAATTAATTCAGAAAACATTTCTCTGGTAGTTTTTTGTAATTGACAAAATCTACGTAATGAATTTAAAATTTAAAACATTAAAAATTAAAAAAACAAGAAAGAAAGCTAACTTTGGCCAGCCAAAGTTTGGATACCCTTGCAGGTAACAATTCAAATATATCATAACTAAGCCAAAAATGCATTAATTTCGATTCGGAAAGCAGTTTTGTGTTAGTTTTTATTAATTAAAAAAACTGCATACCAAATTTAAAATTTTAAGAAAGCAACATTTTTGGCCATTTTTGCTAATTTTAATGATGTAACCCCTTATCAAATTTCGCAAAAATGGCAAAAAAATCGATTTCTTCCGGACATGTCTAGAAAGATTCGCATGTTAACGCTGATCAAGAATATATGTGGTTTATGTCGGAAATGATCCCTTGACTTAGAAAAATATTTTTTGTATTATAAAATCTGATTTTTTATATTAAAAAACTTCTTGATTATTTTAAAATTAAAAATATCATAACTCGGCCAAAAGAGCATTAATTTTAAATCGGCAAACAGTTCTGTGCAAGATTACAATTAATAAATCTGCATACTTCATTTAAAATTTTTGAAAATTAAATTTTTTATCAAAATCAAACATTTTAATGATGTAACCCCTAATAAAATTTTGCAAAAATGGCCAAAAACATCGATTTCTTCCGGACATGTCTAGAAAGATTTGCCTGTTAATGCTGATCAAGAATATATATACTTTATAGGGTCGGAAACGTCTCCTTCACTGCGTTGCAAACTTCTGACCGAATATTTTTTTTTTTTTCAATTTTAAAAACTTATAACTTGTATAAAAAACTGATAATTATAATGTTCTATATATATTAATAATATTAAAATCTAAGCCCAGGTTCCCTTATAAAAACTGATATATATATATTTGCACATTTTAACTTTAAAAACTTATAAGCAGATATATATAAAAAGTTAAAAAACAGATATTGGTAAAATGCCATCTCAGGTTCCCTTATCAAAAACCAATATACCCTGATAAGCGCTGATCAGTGATGATCACCCTACGTTATAGCGCTTAATCGAAATCAATAAAGTTATTAAGGCGACGCTTTTAAGTTTTCTGTAACAGATTCTTAAGCCAACAAGGGCCACCAAACAAAGGGCAGCAACAATGGGGATTAGCGCTCCATCAGTTGGGCTCGAAACCAGTCCCCAGGTGAGTCCACTGGGGATCGGGGATCGGGGATCGGATCCCACTGGATGATTGTCATAATTATGGGCATTTTGGTGTTTGCCGCCGCTCTCTCTCTCTCTCTCGAACTCCTCGGCTTCTCCAGTTCTCCAAGTCTCCTCGGGAGTTGCTTCCATTTCAATTTCGCAGCGGGAATCGATGGGTTTCCATCCAAGGGGGGGAACGCTAATCAAAGTGTTTATCGTGGACCGATCGTTTGTATTATGATTTCTGATGCCTTAATTTATTCACACTCTGAATATAAACGTGCAACTCGTTTTGGTCTTCTCGGGTGTTAATCTTTGCGCCTTTTGCCCAGAGATTTTCGGTTTTCTATTTGCCTTTCAAACCGAAACGCTTTTCAATTTTCACAGCGGGCATCGGCTTGGGGTCAGGTCAGACTCAGACTCATCTTGGACTCCCAAATAATCCAGACTCTCATCCATTTCAAACAATGTTTGTAATTTATTTCATTGTGCGATGATTAGCAGCATTTCTGTAGCCAAGATATATACTGTATATACCCCTTTTCATTCTCTGTGCTCCACTTTCTTAGCCTTATTAGTTCATAGTTATGGCTATTGGCGTAGTTTATGGCCAGGCCTCATCCGCTCCATTGTCCCGAGAGCAGGTAAGGCCGCTGCCTCGGCTTCAAATTGAAAAAGATACAACAAAAAAATAAACACAAGAGATACTCCAAAAGTAAGGGAGAAGGGAAAATCTGAGCATATTGTTATAATTGAGTTTCGGTTTTTTCTGCCACGCCCTTTGGGGTGAGCATCGAGAGTCCGGAGACCCGGAGATGTTGAGGGTTGGCCCAACACGGGGCGCTGACACCGAATATCATAATAATGAACTCGAGAGCGAGCCGGGGGTGTGAGTGACTTTTAATTTACTTCAAATCCTTGCTCAACTACATGACTCCTGGGGGAGTTGTCCTTGCAGCCACATCCCCAACCACAAAAGCAGCAGGACCAGGACCAGGACCAGTCATAGCCTCAGCAAGTGGCACGTCGTCCTCCGCGGAACACTCACCTCGAGACCCTGGCGGCTTGACTCGAGGACGAAGGACGAGCCTGGTGTCCTGGTGTCCGCTGGGTTATGATTTTGAGTTTGGGAAGCCACCAGGGAGGCCGAGGCCCGAGCAAAGCACTACAGAGCAGGGTAAAGGTTTTACCAACGGAAATTTTATATATTTAATTTATCGTAATTATTTGGATTTTTTAAAACAATTAATTTTAATTACTTTATTTGTTGGTTTTGTTAATTATTTTATATGTTTGTTTATTTTATATTTTATTATTTATTTATTATTATTATTATTATTATTTTTATATTTATTTTATAATTTAGTTGATTTATTTTTACTTTTATAATTTATTTAATTTTTTATTTTATAATTTATTTTATTATAGATTGTGTTATTTATTTTATTTTGTTATTTATTATTTTTGTTTATTTTATTATTTTGTTTTCTTTTTATATTTCATTATTTTTTTATTTATGTTTTTTTTGTATAGTTTATTTATTTTATTTTTTATTTTTAATATTTTTTAGATAATTTAGTTGATTAATTTTTAATAATTTATTCTATAATTTA